AGTCTACCTTCAATATACCCATCGGATGTCGGTATCACCCAAATCGGTTTCAAAAGTTGAAGTCGTTCGGAAAGCTTCGAAGGCGTGCCAAAGTCGTCGGTTGAATCAAAATCTTCAGAAGGGGTCGTGGAGATAATGAGAGTTTGAGTGGTGCTGTTCGGTTTCTCAGAAGATCCCAGTGACGGTTTTTGAGGCTCACTGCGATCGGAGTTGTCCGGAGGAAGGGAGGTCGTCTTGAGAGGAGCTGCGGTAGTTGTATCGTGTTTTTGAGAAGGAGTTAGTGAACTTTCTTTAGCGCCAGTTGTTTCGGTGGACTTTGGGGCTCCAGGAGAAGCTGTGATAGTATTCGAAGTCTCGGTTGAGGTGTCAGAGGTTCGAGAAGGATCTAGCGAACTTTCTGGAGAAAAAGTGGTAGCTCTAGCCGTTTCGGTGGATTCTGTAGCTTCGGAAGGAGTTGTGGTCAGATAAGGAGCGTCTGTAGTGCTGTCAGAAAATTGAAAAGACTCTGTGCAATTTTCTCTAGCTCCAGTTGTTTTGATGGACTCTGGGACTTCAGGTGAAGCTGTGATTGTATTCGAGGTTTCGGTTAAGCTTTCAGAGGTTCGGGAAGGATCTAGCGAACTTTCTGGAGAAAAAGTGGTCACTCCGACTGTTTCGGTGGATCCTGTGGCAGGAGTTGTGTCCACATAAAAAGACCCTGTAGTGCTGTCAGAATGTTGAGAAGACTGTGTGAAGCTTTCTTCAAGTCCGGTTGTTTTGATGGACTCTGTGACTCCAGGAAAAGTTGTGATAGTACTAGAAGTCTCGGTTGAGTTGTCAGAGGTTCGGGAAGGATCTACCAAGCTTTCTGAAGTAAAAGTGGTCGCTCTAGCCGTTCCGGTGGATTCTGTGGATTCGGAAGGGTTTGTGGTCAGATAAGGAGCGTCTGTGGTGCTGTCAGAAAATTGAGAAGTCTCTGTGAAACGTTCTGTAATTCCTGCTTTCGACTCGGTGGCTTTTGATGAAGCTGTAACAGTACTGGGGGTCTCGGTAGCGCTTTCAGAGAAAGACTGACTTGAGAAGTTGGAGTCAGGACTCTCTATGGCAGTCCCAAGGAGTTCTGCAGG